TATATATATATATATATATATATACAAGCATATACATACACACATACATACATACATATATAAATAAATAAATAAATATATATATATATATATTAATATTAAATAACAGAGGAGCCTAAAGCAAGAGAAAGCAAAGACATGCGAACAAACAAGCCGTTGGCTGCTTGCGTAAAATATAAACAAAACGGAGACTCATCGACGCACGGAGATAACTCAGAAACGCGAGGAAGAGGGTGCAGCACCTGCACGCAAACCCTAAACCCTAAACCCTAAACCCTAAACCCTAAACCCTAAACCCTAAACTCTGGATTTTAGTACTCACCTCACAAACCCTAAACCCTAAACCCTGAGTCTTTCCACTCACATATGAAATCCTAAACCCTAAACGCTAAACCCTTGCACTCACCTCACAAACCCTAAACCCTAAACCCTAAACCCTAAACCCTAAGTACTGGGCTTACTTTCAATGTTGGTTTCGCCTTTGAGCGCAGCAACTCGGCAGTAATACAAAACCCTTCAGGGTTAGGATGGCTGTTAGGGTTTAGAGACCCTAAACCCTCTGAGTCGCCACCACCTTTATTTGCTGCTACTGCTGCTGTTGCTGTTGCTGCTGCTGCTGCTAGCCTTTCCTGCTGCACTCGAGTGACGTACAGAAAGTCAGCAGCACTTAACACCGATTCTAACGAAGTAGAAACGCAGCAGAAACGCTCCGGGTCCAAACCCTAAGAACAAGCAAAACCCTAAACCCTAAACCCTAAACCCTAGAAAGCCCTTTTAAACCCTTTTAAACACTTAACAATCCGCATAGCTATCAAAAATCCTAAACCCATCTCTGAAAACCATCAGCAAACCCTAAAGAACAAAAACAAAGATATAAGAACCCTAAACCCTAAACCCTAAACCCTAAACCCTAAACCCTAACCTGCTGTTTATAGACAGCTTTGACTTGAGCTAAAAACTCCTCATCAGGTTCAAACCCCCGAAGCGGAGCGAAGAAAAGACGAACGCCGAAACGAGACAGCAAAAGCGCCAGAGAATGCACAGTCCTAATGCACAAACCCTAAACCCTAAACCCTAAACCCTAAACCCTAAATCCTAAATGCTGCTGCTGCTGCTGCTGCTGCTGCTGCTGCTGCTGCTGCTGCTGCTGCTGCTGCTGCTGCTGCTGGAGGTTCATTTGCTGCGCCCCCTGCCCGCACATCTCCTACAAACGCAAGCAAAAAGAAAGCAGCGAAGACAGCCCCAGTCAAACCCTAAACCCTAAACCCTAAACCCTAAACCCTAAACCCTAAAGGCTTTGAACAAAAGGAGAGCAAATCACTGCAGAGGAGACGCCAATCTCTAGGGTTTAGGGTTTACGGTTGGGGTTGAAGGGTTTGCTAGGGTTTAGGGTTTAGGAGTTGGGTTGAAGGGTGTGCTACGGTTTAGGGTTTAGGGTTTAGGGTTTACAGAAGATGCAGCCGCCGCAGGACCTGAGGCCGGCATGGTGGCCTTGGAGGTCCTTCTCTAGGGTTTAGGGTTTAGGGTTTAGGGTTTAGATTCAGGTGTACGCACAGCTGGCCCCTAAAAGCCAGCGAAGAATAGGGCAAGGGTTTAGAGCGAGGGTTTAGGGTTTAGAGAGTTAGAGCTCCTTGCAGACATGACTAATAAATAAACCCTCAACATTCAAACCCTAAATAAACCCTAAACCCCAAAAGAATAAAACTATAAACTTTAAACTATAAACTATAAACCCTAAACCCTAAACCCTAAACCCTAAACCCTCACAAGGTCTCCTTCCCTCGCCGTACGTGGGGCCCCCCCGCCGTCTTGGCTGACCCAGCAGAGACCACACGAAATAAACCCTAAACCCTAAACCCTAAATAACAAACCCTAAACCCTAAACCCTTAATATTGAATTGCAGACAACAAGAACTAAACCCTAAACCATTTAGGGTGAAGATGCTGCTCTTCAGAGGCCCCCCTAGGGTTTACGGGTGGCCTTCGCTTAGACCTAGCCGCCCTAAACCCTAAACCCTAAACCCTAAACCCTAAACCCTAAACCCTAAACCCTAAACCCTAGAACCTAAAAGCTAAACTCGAAAACCTAAACCCTAAACCCTAAAACCTAGAACCTAAACCCTAAACCCTAAACCTTAGAAATAGTATGTATAAGGGCGCTCCTGTTTGTTGTCTTCTGCTGCTTGGCTATTGAAAACCCTAAACCCTAAACCCTAATCGATGCTATACCCTTCGTTCCCCCACTCAGACCAAACCCTAAACCCTAAACCCTAAACCCTCGAAGCCCTGCTTAGGACCCGTCCTAAGTTCTAGTGCTGCATATGCTTGCTGCGAGTTCGAGCAGCAGCATCAGCAGCAGCAGCAGCAGCTGCTGCTGCTGCAATTGCTGCTGCTGCTGCTGCTGTTGCTGCTGCTGCACAAGCCAACTAAAATAGGTGAAGCGTTTGGTGGTGATACACCTGAATGTCTATAAACACAAAAACAAACGAGAGGCAAAAGGTGCTGCGCATGCAGCAGCAAACTGCTGCATATAACTAGATCTGCTGCGGCTGTTCCTGCTGCTGCTGCTGCTGCTGCTCTTGCTGCTGCTGCTGCAGCTTCAAGTTCTCTCGAAGCGTCTCCTGCAGCAGAAGCTGCAGCCGCCGCAGCTGCTCTTTGTCTGCTGAGCCCGGGCCCCACAGAGACCTGTGCCGCAGCATACACTCAAACCCTAAACCCTAAACCCTCGGCATCAAGCCCCTAAACCCTAAACCCTTGACAGCAAAACCCTAAACCCTAAGAGCCCTCGTTCTGTGCAGCAGCAGCGCCTTCGTATCATCTCCATCACTCCTCAGTGCGACTCTAAACCCTAAACCCTAAACCGCAAGCCAGCAAACCCTAAACCCTTAAACCTCAAACATACTTCTGCTGCTTGGCCTGCAGCAACACCTCCAGTGTCTTCGTCTTCTGCTGCAAGTCAGCCTGCAGCAGCAGCAGCAACAACAGCAGCAGCAGTAGTAACAGCAGCAGCAACAGCAAACCCTCCCGCTATCCGCACAAAAGGCAGCAATTCCAGCAGCAGCAGCAACAGCAACAGTAGTAGTGACAGCAGCAGCAGCAGCTTACTCTCAATGATGCTTCTGCTGCTGCTGCTTCCTTTAGTGCTTCGGACAGGCTTCTGTTTGTCTGCTGCAGCCGCCGCAGCCTCTCGAGCAGCAGCGACACCTCTAACTCAGGAGGATCCACCTCCTGCTGCTGCTGCTGCTGCTGCTGCTGCAGCTCCTCGGTGTCTGCTGAGCCCCTACTAAGTGGCTTTAACGTACCGGCAGAGGCAGCACAGCTTCGCCTCCAAGTGGAGGCATGGATGCTGCTGCTGCTGCTGCTGCTCTGGCGGCTGCTGCTGCTGCTCTGGCGGCTGCTGCTGCTGCTGCTGCTGCAGGGAGATGAAGACGAAGAGGCAGGAGACGAGGCTTCTCCTTCTCTATGCAAACGCAGCACTTGGTGTTCTAGTGCTGCAGCAAGCAGCCGGCGGCACTGCTCTTCAGCCTGCAGCAGCAGCAGCAGCAGCAGCAGAGCTTCAGCAGCGTACAGACAGCAGCACCCTTGCGGTAGAACTCGCAGCAGCAGCAACAGCAACAGCAGCAGCAGCAGCAAAAACCAACTAAACCGACGCAGCGCTCCCAGTCCATCCCTAGCAGCAGCAGCAGCAGCAGCAGCAGCAGAAGCAACAGCAACAGCAGCAGCAGCAACAGCAGCAGCAGCAAGTCGCCTCTTATTCACCTTTTCTCGCTGTTTCTTCTCCCGTGCGCAGAGGCTCTGCAAGCCTCGGAGTTGCTGCTGCTGCCGCTGCAGCAGCTGCTGCTGCAGCGCCCTTTGCGAAGTCTCCACAAAACACAGAGCAGCGCTCTGCTGCTGCTGCTGCTGCTGCTGCTGCTGCTGTAACTGTTCTGAGGAGGCTCCCCCTGTAACGCTGCATGCCGCAGCAGGCGACTTGCTGCCAGAGGAGCTAGCAGCAGCAGCAGCTGCTGCTGCTACTAACCCTGAAGCAACAACCCGCTGCACGCCTGGAGTGTCTACGCATGCGGCTAACTGGTGCTGCTGCTCGTGCTGCTGCCGTTGCTGCTCTTCCTTCAGTTGCTGCAGTTGCTCTTCTGCGGCTTGCTGCTGCTGCTCCAGCTGTTGCTGCAGCCGCTTAGTCTCATCTTGGTGCTGCTCCTGCAGCTCCTGCTGTTGCTGCTGCAGCTTCTGCTGCTGTTGCTGCAGCTGCTGCAGCTGCTGCTGCAGCTGGTCGCGTTCTTTTGTAGCAGCATCTAGCGCCTGCTCCAGCTGAGTCAGCAACTCTTGCGTTGCCTGTTGCTGCTGTTGTTGCTGCTGCTCTCGTTTGTCTTGCTGCTGCTGCTGCTGCTGCAGCTGCTGCTGCGACGACTCGAGTTCAGCAGCAGCAACCTGCACCACAGCAGCAGCGGCGCACTCAGCAGCTGCGTCTGTAGCAGCAACAGCAGCAACAGGAGCAGCAGCAGCAGGAGCAGCAGCAACAGAAGCAGCAGCAACACCGGCCATAGGAGCAGCAACCACAGTAGCAGCAGCAACACGAGCAGCAGCAACACGAACAGCAGCAACACGAACAGCAGCAACAGGAGCAGCAGCAACAGGAAAAGCAGCAACAGGAACAGCAGCAACAGCAGCAGCAAACGCCAACCTGCTGCTGCTGCTGCAGCTCTTGCAGCTGGCTTTCTAATGTGGAGACAATACACCTCAGACGAAATGTATCTGCTGCTGCTGCACACAACTCCTCCAGCTGTTCAGGGGTCACCTGGGGTGCAGCAGCAGCAGCAGCACCTGCTGCTGCTGCTGCTGCTGCTGCCCCTGCAGAGTCCTCTTCCTTCTGCTGCTGCGGCTCCTCGCCTTGAGGCTGCTGCTGTTGCTGCTGCTGTTGCTGCTGCTGCTGCTGCTGTTGCTGCTGCTGTTGCTGCTTGTGCTCATCTGCTTCTGTCTTCATTTGCGTTACCATAAGCGTTAGCCTAAAGAAAAGATCAGCAGCAGCAGCAGCAGCAGCAGCAAGGGTGAAGAAGCAGCAGCAGCAACAGCAACAGCAACAGTCAAGAAGCAGCAGCAGCAGGAGCAGCAACAGCATCAACTGCAACAGTGAAGAAGCAGCAGCACAGCAAAACGCAGGCAAGAGAAGCAAGAGCCCAAGGCACCAGCAGCAGCAGCAACAGCAGCAGCAGCAAAAGCAGCAGACGCACTGCATCAGTTGCTTCGCTTGTCTATCATTAATGTCGCGTTGCTGCTCCGCCTCTAGCTGCTGCTGCTGCAGCTTCTGCAGCAGCAGCAATCTCTCGTTCTCGTGCTTCTGTCTCTCGTCCTCAATCTGCTGCTGCAACTGCTGCAGCTGCTGCTGCAGCTGCTGTTGCTGCTGTTGCTGCTGTTGCTGCTGCTGCTGGGGCATGCTGCTGCGGGGGAGCGATTCAGCAAGTGCCTGCTTCACCACGTCAACTAACTGCTGCTGCTGCTCCGCTGCTGCTGCTGTTGCTGCTACTGCTGCTGCTGCTGGCTTCTCAGCTGTGTCTGTGGCTTCTTCTTCTGCGCGGCCTTGGGGTGTACAGGCACCTTCTGGTGTATGTTGATCTGCTGCGTGCTGCGGCGGATCTGCTGCTGCTGCTGCTGCTGCTGCTGCAATGAAGCCTCGTTGTTGAAGGCGATCAGCAACAAACTCTGCTGCTGCCTGCAGCTCTCCAGACACTGCAGCAGCAGGAGGAGAAGGGGGTGGCAGCAGCAGCAGCGCCTCCCGGTACACCTGAACTTGCTCCCTATACACCCCAGCAGCAGCAGCAGCAGCAGCAGCAGCAGAAAGACTCAAGCACTATTATGCACTGCAGCATTCGAAGCAACTTCCCGCTGTTGCGCTGCTGCTGCTGCTGCTGCAGCACTTCTGTGTAGCTGCTGCGGCTGTTGCTGTTGCAGGCAGAAACCAACAATGCAACTGCTGTGCCAGGGTTTAGGGTTTAGCGAGGGTTTAGGGTTTAGCGAGGGTTTAGGGTTTAGCGAGGGTTTAGGGTTTAGCGAGGGTTAAGGGTTTAGCGAGGGTTTAGGGTTTAGCGAGGGTTTAGGGTTTAGCGAGGGTTTAGGGTTTAGC